AACATAGGTTTTTAAACTGAAATTCTTGAAATAAGTTTAAAACACACATTTTGAACCCTAAAAATTGAGATTATCTATTTTGAAGCCCTTTAAGTTGTCGGCCCTTCTTGTAATTTAGTCTCCAAGCATCTCTAACATGATCCCTGGCAACCGGTTGTTCAATATGAACCCAGATTTTAAAAGAAATTAAAAAGGAAAAAAAAGGCCTGCAACTTTTTTGAATATACAACCTGTTCAATTCAATAAAACAGTTTTTGTTTTAGTCCTGCTTTATGCTATCTGAAAGATACATTTTGTGAATGTTTTTTATGTATTGAAAATGTTCATGCTATGATACTGCTTTATTAAAGTAAGATGTATCACCAAAGTGTGTAGATTAACCATAACATATCACATCTATTGACTGAGAAGGTAAATTCAAGAAATCACTGCTCTTACACAATGTCAGTGGGAATCTCCAGTTTCTAAAAGTCTGTGGTAAAATGTGCTGGTGTCCAAACACTGCTAAATTAAAGCTTTAATTATATTTTAAGCTTTCATCAAGATCTACAAGAACCCTGAAATAAAATATCCACGTGCTAAACCAGAGGAACATCTTAAAAAACAGAAGAATAGCTCCGGAGTACAGGAGTTTCCCAGCCATCCTCGGATGTATTATATCTATGTTACCTTTAATAGGATTTTTTTTTTTTTTTTTTTATCACCAGAGTAGCTTGTTTTGGTACATCTACAATGAAATCAACGTGCTAGAAGACAAAATCTAATCAAGTTACTTTAGAATTAAGAGTGACACTTGGCACAGTTTGGCTTAAGAAGCTTTTTACATGATTGCAAGAAAAAAAGGAGTAGGGAGGATTGTCAGGATGATAAATGAAAAGAAACACTGTGGTTTCCTGAAAAACACACTTCATTCAATTTTAAAGGGGCCTCAGGCGATAACGGATGAATGGAGGTGCTTGCAGGTGAGACTGCAAGACTAACTGAATATTTCTGTAAAAGAAGCGACTGAAACTGCTTAAAACATTGTTGTATTTTTTTTTCAATGCAGAATTGTCCTGGGTCTGGTGGTTTTGTTGCAAAAATGTTCTAAACAAAAGATTGCTTTAGGCATAGCTAACACTTTAAAGGCAGGCAATTGCTGCAATTAGCCACAAGGTGGGGAAGATGTGCACATTTCAAAGAGGATATAAAAAACTAAAAATAATACAAAAACAATTAAATATATGATGTGGACGGTGATAATATCACTACTAGTCCATCATGCAACTCAATATCATGCAAATAACAGTTCTCTATTAATATGTTAAAAATATTAACTTAATGTACTATATAAAACAACTGAGGTTGATTTGAAGTTATTCTTTTTCCTTTAATTACCTATTGAGGTTTTATATTTAGCAGTGACCAGAATATTAACTCATGTGTGGGGTTCTGTGGACATAGTGATGACTTTAGAATGAATCCCTGGTGGGTTCTGTCCCATTACCTCACGGTTGGCCTGATTCTCAGTATGGCTTCATTAGCAATGTCGTTGTACTTATCACTGCATCCTCTAAAAAAAAAAAATCTGAAATACCAACAAAAATGATTATAATTACCATCTTGATTCATTATGAAAAATTTAGCCAGGACATAGGTTATCGTTCGCGTTGTCCCTTTTGAAGTCGCAACTAGGGTTCCCTTGGATAATTGCCCTACAGGGAAACAGATGGGACCGTCACAGCTCCAGCAGTGCAGCTGTAAATAAAGAGAGACTTTTTCTGAATGCTGAAATGGGAATTAACTGAGCCTGCAGGAAGCTGGAGTGACCATGATTGATCACTTTACTGTAGCTTCTATAGAACCTGTTATTTAATTCATGTTGGCTTCTCATGGTAAATAACAATGAGGTTTTTGAAATATACACTTTTAGCTGGTAACAAAATGTGCAGTGGTGAAGGGCTCATTCATTTATCATATATAGCCAATGGGAAGGTCCTACTATGCTGTTTTAGAGGTGATCTGGAATCAGCACCATGGCTAGTTACACCTAAGGTAGCCCTCGTAGATCAGCACCATGGCCAGCGACAATTCTCAGTTTTAAACATGATGCAACAGCACCGCCCAGTGCTACAGTTTGGGAATAGCATCTGAGTTTCATGATCGTGTATAATATACTTTATGTTTGATTAAAAAGCGAGAAGCGAATCCTTTCTCTCATTATTAGTTCAAAAATGTATCATATCAGTAAAATTTTAAAATGACTGACAGCAAAATTCTTTGCTTTAACAAATTCCAACATATATATTATATATATATATATATATATATATATATATATATATATATATATATATATATATATATATATATATATATATATATATATATATATATATATATATATATATATATATATGCAATGTATTGTGCACATTTGTCCAGGTTGAAAAAATATCCTTTGCTTAAATTCAGATTTATCCGTTTATACTGTTCACGTTTTGTTTCTCAGCAGGAACATTTAAAACTTCCGTCTTTAAAGTGTTTTAAAAGAGTTTATTCTTTTTTGGTTGAAACTGAAGGTGGTGTGTTTCGACCTTCCTAAGAAAGGCTTTTCGATTTTTCCTTGGTCCGAGCTGTAATTGGATTTCAATTAGGATTAACATGCTTAGCCAACAAACAGCATGCAACAAGTACAGCCCTTTTTCAGATTGCAAGGAATCCTTATAGGAATGGAAAATATAAAATCAGTTTATATGGTTTATTGCTTGGAAAAGGGCGCAGAGCGATAGTAAACGTCGTCTTTCGGCCCCGTAGCGGCTCTATTTATCCTCTCCGCGTCGTAGCAGAGAGACAGAGCTGACAATCAGCGGCTTCCTACTGGCTCTGCTGCGCATGCGCGCTTCTGCCGGTTTGCTGCGGCTCTTTGCTTGATGCCTAAAAGCTGCGTTAAGCTGAAAAAAGCAGCAGCCTCTCCTTTCCAGGAATGTCCAAATTAAAACAAATAGCTACAACTGTACTTTCTTCGATTACCAGCTTCCTGCAGGCGATTTAAATATGTTTTGTAACATATTTTACTTACTAAATTCATAAAGTTAAGTATTATGCTATTAATACATTTATATAAAACATCCATTTTAATCTGAGAAATAAAAAACTGATATCAGCAAAATGGACTGAATGGATTACCTTTTAAAATGATACTAACGTTAGAATAAAATCATATTGCCTGTTAACTAGCTTAGAATTTAATTTATTTTTTTGTATTTATCCATGGACGAAAGAAGCTTTAATATAGAGATTTTTTGAGTGGTTTCTGTCAAGGTTAGGTTGAGGTTGTGAGGACCCAAATGCAGGAGCAGGGAGGCAGAGGTGATTTTGTTGAAGATTTAATTGAATGATCACAAACATCTGAGGCAGGAATCCAAAAATCCAACATAAAAATGTAAAACAAACCAGAACCATGGAGACATCAGGGAAAACAAGCATGAGGAACTACGGAATGAGCAGGAACCAGCACTGAGGAACTGCACAGGGAGAGTATTTATGGCTGACTGAACAAAGACAGGTCTAACAAGCTGATTGGTAGAAATAAACTACAAAGACACAGAACACAAATAAACTTAAAAATAAACCCAAGCAGAGGGCAGAACCCTGACAGTGTCATTTAAAAATGATCAAATAAGACATTAAATTAGGTGATGAAAATACAGATATACCAGATGTTTTGGAAATACAAGAAATAAATAAAAGCTTGTTTTATATTCTTTATATTAGATGTATGTTGTCCTCCTTTAGATGTTGTCAGACCCAATTTATTGTGATACCAGTAAATAAAACTCTTGTTCACAGACTCAATCCATTGTTACATATCCTGAGCAAAAATGTCTAGCCGTACAAATCAGGTCAAGATATACTTCAACTTTTACCTGCAGTTGAAATGACTAAAAATAGGATTCAAAACAGAGTCATGTTCTATTTATGAGTAAATAACAAGGAAGAGAGATGTCCATTGATTTAGAAAATTATAGTTCTAAATTGTAGTAACTGTTTCACAAACAGTACATGTTACTCAAACTAACATGGTAATTTTTTATTCCAAATTATACAAATACAAAAAAAAAAAGGTTAAAAAGTCTTGAATAATCGTTGAACTGCCCATCCATATAAAATTGTCTATGCAAAGTCACTTGGGGGCTGGTGCCCATCTCCAGTTGGCACTGGGTAAAAGACATTGTATAACCCTATAGGTCAGCTGTTCCACATGGAGACAAACAAATTACCAAGAGGGAACTCATACATGCATGAAAACAGGCAGGGATTCAAACTTAGGATCTTCTGTTACAATGCAACAAGCTAACAGTAGCTTTTTTTATAAAACTACCTTTCGGCCTCTTTAAAATGTAATAACTTCCATCCAAGTCACATCATTTAATAAAATAAATGTATGTTTTTTGGTCCTAGAGATAAAAAAAAAAGAGGGGGAAATTCAGCACGGATTATTTTTGAAAAACTATTTATATTTAGAGCAATTTGATTCTAAAACGAAAAGACAAAGTTACCCTTACAGTGAAAAAAATAATGCAACTGCTTTTGGCATTTACTTAATCATATTTACTTATTTTAACACCATTGTTTTATGTCCTACCCTGCTAACATGAAACAATTTTGTCAAAGTAACTATATGGTTGAGTAAATGCCAAAAATGGTTGCGTTATTTTTTCCAGTGAATCATGTTAAGCAAAATTAGTTTTATCCAAAAAAAATTATTATATAGCTCTCAATAAGGAGAAAAAAAACAGTATTGCATACCCTACTTTATTGTGGTAAATAATGTTGTTTCCTCACTATTTGCTTTTGCAAAGAGGGTGTAGGTTCTTTTATTCCAAACTCTGTGAAAGAAATATTAATTAAAGGTATAAAACGAGAAAGATCAAAGAAACTATAAAATGTTTCTTTGAAGGGCTTTTATTTTGAAGTTTTCACGGGATCTTCATCTCTGTTAATCAGTCTGGCTTGATCTTCTTTAGGTCGACAGACGCTGCCTTGGAAACGACATAAATCCAGTGCACGCAGCTGGCTCTTTAGCAGGGACCTACATCCCCCCCACACTTCAAAGGCTTCCGCCCCTCTGGTACCCTCCTCTTCCTCCTCCACCTCTTCTCCATCCATTCCTCCGTTCATCTCCAGATCTCTGCGAGCATGGATGATCCGAAATGAAGGCGAGGAGGCGCAGCAAGGGAGCATCGAAATAACCGAGACAGGAGGAGACGGGAGGTGCCGCAGCCAGGTACATGTGAGCAGATTTCCAATCAGCTTTGGAAGCCACGGCCGTGGGGAAGGAGCCGTGTCCATGCGGGGGCACGTCGCCACGGAGGAGGAGAGGGAGGGAGGGAGGATGCATTTGTTTTTGTTATTGTTGCAAGAAGAGGAAACAATGCGTGCGCCCCTTATTACTCAGCCTCAGAGGTGATAGGTTTATATGCACGCGGATTGATCTTAATATTTAAAATTGTGTTAAAGGGGTTTTATCAAAGCACGCGCTCCTTTCACACCATTTTATTCCGCCCTGCGTGGCGGAGGCGCGCTGGTCAGGTGCTTTTCTAACAAAATGTCACCAGTTGGAGGAAAATGTGCTTGCAGAATTTAACAGAAAATAATAAGAAAGAGCTGGAATAAAAATAAAAAAAATTAGAGTTTATAGAAGAGGAGGTGTGTGGACAGGATCCTCTGGAATAGCAGTGGATTTTGGTATCTTCTGTATGGAAGACAGTGTTTGGTCATAAGGTGCTTTTAAATGGACGGTATAATCTTTTATAGAATATTTTGTGGTATTATAGATTTAAAACATGTCCCAAGTTTTATAGAAAAAAAATATTATTGATGTTGCAGCTGCTTCTGCTGCTTGCCAGATGTCTTCATGCCTTAAAGCCTCCTGGGTCTAAGCAACTTCACGTGTTTTTGTGTAATATCAAAGATATATATTGAGAATAACACAAATTTTTTTGCAGTTCACATTGATAAAAGCCATCCAGATGATATTTTGCTGCTATTTACTACAAGAGAAACTGCATAGAATATGTGCACCATTAATGTCTGACAAACTAACTGATTTTTTAAATGGAGATCATATTCAATTAGATAATACTTTATTAATCTTAAAGGGAAATTAAATGTCGCAGTAACTCATAGTTTTTTTGTTTGTTTTTTTTTTGGTGTTGTAGATGTTGATAGCTGTAGGCAGGAAGGATTTAGCTTTGGATCAATTCGGACACTTTCTAGAGCTGTCAATTAGCCTCTGGTATAATGTTGTGTGGATATTTGGCTCTAAAGGTTATTTAAATTATTTGATTTGTGTGTACGGATTCAGCTTTTGAGGATGGCTCAGTTCTATGGTGTTTAAGTTGTTTTAAAAAAACAAACATGTGTCCTAATAATAGTTCATAACCAGTTATTGTGTGTGTTTGGGAGGATTGTCCTGTTTTGAAAGCCAGGGGTGTCCCGATACAACTTCTTCATTTCCAATACAATACCAATGTTACAGCTTAAGATGATGACCAATAATTAGGGATGCACGATATAATCGGCCCCCTATCAGTATCGGCCTTAAAACTGAATATTGGACATCGGCCACCCCACCGATATTTAACCCGATATTTAATCAGCTTTTGAGTTTAAAAGTCTAAAAAAAAACTATAAAAAATACTACTTCTTCTTCTTCCTCAAAAACTTCTTTTTTACAGACTTAAAAACTTCTAAAGACGAGGGAAAAAATATTGATACATTAAAATATCACAATATCTTCATATACTGATATATTGCCATTTAAAAACACCATATCAATCTCTTTTACTAATGAAATATTGCTATACGTCATCGTTATGCTACGAAATCCCCCGAAAATTCATGAAATGTTGCCATATTTTTATATGTTGATATATTGATGTGATATCGATCTATTTTACTAAGAAAATCTCACAAGAATTTGCAAAATATCACGAGAGGTTGTAACAGAACGATGAAATTTCACGAGATTTTGAAAGTAAAATAGATCGATACCGCGTTTTTAAAAATCAATTTGAAATCAGCATATCAAAATATATTTGAGTATATTATTTTTCAAAGTGTCAGAAATGGATAATAAAACTGCTATTTTCAATGACTACTTATTTTTGTCCAGCTTTAACATCGGTATCGATATCGGTTATCGGCTACATGAGTTTTAAAATATCGGCATATCAGATATCGGCCAAAATCCCAACATCGTGCATCCCTACCAATAATCATTATTTATACATACTGTTATTACTAATTTATATTGTGGAATGATAGATAATGTTTTATCCAGGGATAGTTCTCAATCAGAGAACAATAGAGCATCAGGTATGAGTACAACTGACTCATTTCTTATTCACCAAAGAACAGCAGATAGAAGCAAAGTGTTTATGAGTTTTCTGATTTTGAAGGTTTTAGAAGCAGGCCGATATTCTGAAATTTCGTTTTTTTTTTTGTCACCTAAAAAAACGATTTCCAATTGATTGATTGATTGGTTGATTGACTTTATTGATCTCATAGTGGAGAAATGTACTCACTACATCAGCTCAAATAGTAATAGAAGAAGGTGCCAAAGGAGGAAAAAGGAGCATGGGATATATACAGTATATACAGTGCGTCCACAGCTTTTTTTTAATATAGTAGGATCATTATACTGGGTTGTTGCACAGGGTGTTTACATGGGTATTTATGTAGATGGATATTGATATTTATATGAATAGTTATTACACTGGGTGTCAAATATAGAGAAACAGTTATTGCACAGGGCATCAAATAGTAATTGCACATTATACATTGCACAAGTTAGTGCCATTGTAGTGTCGCATTGTAGAGTCTGGTTGCAGCAGGTATGAATATCTGCGGTAGCGCTCCTTTTTATAAACAGGGTGTAAAAGTCTTTCACTAAAGGAGCTGCTCAGCTCCTCTACAGTCTGGTGCAGAGGGTGGAAGGTGTTGTCCATGATGGATGTAAGCCTGGACATCCTCCTCTCAGCCACTACCTCAACTGAGTCCAGAGTACAGCCTTGGACATAAGCGGCCTTTCTTACTAGTTTGTTCAGCCTCTTTCTGTCCCGCCCTGCGCTGCCAGGGGCCCAGCAGTCAACAGCCTAGAGGAGGGCTGATGCCACCTCAGAGTAATTTCATATATTAATATTGGATTTGGACAGCTCTATTACCAGCTATAGGGGTTGAAGGTGAAGTTTGGACACAGTTTTCATTATTCCACTCACTTTTTGGAAAGAGCTTAAGGGTTGCTTTAAAAAACACCCCCTCAGAGCATGATGCAGGTACCACCATGCTTGAACATGCATCCTGTCATTTTAATAAAACGGCTCCACAATTGATCTGTCAGAAAATTTACTACAAAGCATTCGGCTCGTTCATATAAAGAGATGGAAATCAATTCTATAAGTAGAGGCATCTTAAAGAGTTTATAACCGAGTTTAAGTACTGTGGTTCACGGGTTGCTCTTTATCATTTGTAGGTGGGTGAATGGATCTGTCAGTACTGATAATCCTGGGAAATGGAATCATTTCAACCAGGCAGATGAACCTTTTGATTAAAATCAGTAAAAGCCAAACAACCTAAGCGACGTTGCCTAAAATATGTCTCAATGCAAATGTACGACCCAACCTGATAAATATAAAAACATTAACAGATATTTGTATTTGGAAATTGTACGATTTTAATAGAGGTTAAGTTGTATCCTAGAGAGCATACTAGCATACTTCATTACTGCTGTCTCATTAACCAACAAACTGAGTTTAACTCACTGGGTTCTTTCATGTCGGACCACAGCCTGGCTGAACGCAGATTAGATAATCGGGTTCTTTAATGCATGTGAAGCTGCCGTACAAGACAGAGTCGTATTCATGAGAGGCTGTGTTCACAGAAGCTTGCGCTGATTCATTACATAAGCCAATCTTAGAGAAAGAAGGGCCAAGAAACCGCAACTGTGAGCACATACATACATTCACACACAAACACGCACAGAGTCACTTAACCTCAGTGCGTGAAGCTGAGGTGGATAAATCTTTCTTTTTTTGCTCAGGCACAAAGGGGGGTAATCTGGATTCTAAGATATTTTTTAGATACACATGTGTACGTTTTAGGAAAACAAATGTGTGCTTACAGCATTTGGAGATCCACTGATCACATTTTTGGATCGGATATCGACTCTGATATCAACTAATTAAGTGGATCAGATATCAGCTCTAATATTGCTTTATTAGCTGGATCAGATATCAGCTCTGATATTACCTAATTAGCTTGATCTGATATCAGTTCTGATATTGACTAATTACCTGTCAGATTTCGTATTGTATATCTAAAATCCAATTCAGTGCACTTCACATTGAACTGTTGTTTCTTTCTCTTTGCTGCTGATGTGTTAATAAATAACAAAGTACGTTTAGATCTGTGCTAATTTGTTACCTACCTAACAATGTTTATATCAAGGCTAAAGCCCTGACTCACATTGCAAGATATATGGTTCATTCAATCAACATTAAATCATATCGGTATCGGATAACTGCAGGTATGTTCAGCCCAGGTCAGATCAGCAAAAAACGGATCAGTGCATCTCTAACTGCATTTAAAGTAATTATTTGTAACAATGATGTTCTGATGGATGAATTCATCAAACACGCTGAGCCTGTGGATGGATTGAACTTTCCTACATCACCTTAAATAAGATCTGTCTTCACTGGAACCCATAACACTTTTTTTCTGAGATATCCTTTACTGGCATGAAAAACTTTTTTGGGACTGACTAAAATATGGTTTTGTGAGAAATTTCCAACTGTTTTGAAAAAGAAAAATTTTGCCATTTTAGAAAAATGAAATCCATGTGCCATCAGTGCAGAGCTTGTGTAACATCAGGAATAGATTGTCTTTAGCCTCAAAGACCAGAAAGACTAGGCTTTAGCCCTTGAGTCCTTAACAGAGCCAACAGTTAGGGGTCCTGAACTAATTTATGGGGTTGACTCACAATTTAGAACAAACCCTTAATATCCAACAGAGGAAGTCCTTTAAAAAACAGAACAGTAACCTTTTTTTAAAGCCTGTGGTCGGACCTCATAAAGCAGGCCAATAAACAAATTAACAAACTATGATCAACTATCAGTTAGGATTTGAACCAGAAGTTAATTTTAAATGTTAGATGTTATAAAGAAAATCGTAAGAGGCACTGAGTCAGTTCACCTCTATACGAAGATATAAACCTATTCATACCTT